GCTGAAAGGCCGCAGCCGAGATTTGAACCTGCAACCTTCGTACTGTGAGGCAACAGTGCTAACAACTGCACCACCATGCGGCCCATTTATCATTTAATCGTTCACCACTGAAATCAGTTTGTTCATTCCAATCCTTCTAAATAACCCTATAATCATCCAGCTGGAGTCCTTAACGGTCCTGTAACATCCATCCTGTCAGAATAGGCCTTGGGAGCCCAGGTGTTACTAGAACTAATGGTGTCTCCTCACCAGCGTGAGCCTCCAAACTGTGAAGGTTGGTCTCCAAACATGAACTTTTAATTAATGCATTTATCTCCTCTTGTAACACTTTAACATGTTTTCAAAGGCTTGTATCATGATATGTTATACCTCCCAGACTAAAGATAGGTACAATATAAGATAAAACATTATCGTAGATACTATTGAGACATCATTTGTGAAATACAAGTTATTTTTGCTCACCATTGCTTTAACCAAGAAATAAGATGCATGGATTTGATGAAGCCACTAGGGATGAGCGAGTACACCACTATCTGTATCTGTATCTGTTCAACCATCTAAATTATCTGTATCTGTACTCGGAGTGGGCGTGGCCTAACCCGGAGGTGGGTGTAGTTTAACCGGAAGTGGGTGTGGTTTACATCAATATGTTATTTTAAGTCTGATCAGAAGTTGCTATGTGTATTGTTTATTTGAAAACTATTTACAGAGCAGCCTAAGAATTGAGATTAAATGTTTTTGATCACAATAGTAAAGGAACTGTTACAGAACAAGTTTTTCAATAAAATCAGAACATTAATATGCATGTGCATGAATTGAGAGAGAGAGAGAGAGAGAGAGAGAGAGGGAGAGAGAGAGGGAGAGAGAGAGGGAGAGAGAGAGAGAGAGAGAGAGAGAGAGAGAGAGAGAGAGAGAGAGAGAGAGAGAGAGAGAGAGAGAGAGAGAGAGAGAGAGAGAGAGAGAGAGAGAGAGAGAGAGGAAATCATCTTTTCTATAGAGCTCCAGACCCCACGTGACTCTCAGTTAGTAGACGCCATATTGGCAGGAAAAAAAGGTAAACAAACACGGATCGTAAACATGAACGGGGTCGGCTTGAATTTTACTTTGTCGGAGTTTACTTCACACTTTAAAACCGAATAAATCGTTTTATATAGTCAGAAATTAAATAGACTAAACATATCTGACCCTTACCGTGCCCCTGGGATACTTTTTAAAAACGCCAGAAGCTGTCGGAGCGGACTTCTTACCGGACCTGGCCGGGGAACCCCTTGGGATTTCCCCGGAGGAGCTGGCCCAGGTGGCTGGGGAGAGGGAAGTCTGGGCCTCTCGACGCTACATGCCCCCGTAACCCGACTCCGGATAAGCCGATGAAAATGGATGGACAAATAACAGATTTACATGTAAGTAGTTTAAATAGAGTGCTTTGCTGTTTGAATGTATAAATTGAACGCCAAGCGAAATCACTAGTTTGATTTTTTTTGCCTGAATAAAATAAATATGTCAGGCAGGAGCGTCTCAGGATCTGTCTGAGATCTGTCTCGGTGAGACAGATAATAGCAATCCAAAGTGCTTTTTATGTGTGATCTGAAAATTGATCAACCATTGCTTAAAAATTAAATACAGCTTAGCCGGTTAATTGCTGTGATACTAAAACACGTAAACGGCAGCACGCAGAACTCACGAGGCACCGTTTTACGTGATGTTTACTTGCTGCTGTGAGTAATAAGACAGAAAAAGCCACGCCAAAATAAGTTTAGGAAGCCCACTAAGAATCGTAATAAAAGCATTTAAAATAAACACCATACACAGTTGAGGAAACATTGGTTGAAGTACCTGATATGAAGCGGTCGCTGCATAAGCGAAAACCTTTACTCTCGGGATCCCACAGCTTAATTTCAGCCCGGTCACTAGCTCGTTTTATTACAATGATCCAACGTTTGCGGCGCTCCAGATCTTGGCTAATCCTGTAGATGGCTCATTCCTTATGTCGTCCGCGTCTGTTGTGCATCCTGGGGCACAACAGGAATCTACCATATTTCCCGTTTGATTGAGTTTTCTGACAATAACAAATAGTCCAGCTGCAGACTTCTGCATGCCAATATGGCGCCGTTTTGATTTGAACTGTTGCATGCCAGGAGAAGTGACGTCAACTCCCGGAGCTCTATAGCGCCTCTCAGGATAAAAATCACAGGGCGCTTCTCAAAAACAAAACGTAAAATACAAAAAAGAATTTAGAAAATGATTTAAATATATTTCAAAGGGGCAAAACATAGACAATTGTGATTAAAAAATGTAAAGAAAGAGAGAGAGAGTTAATAGGAAAGTGGATCCTGAGGAAGAGGAGAGAGAGAGGAAAAAAAAAACAACTGGAGCGGAGGCAGTGAGTGACTGATGCAGAACGAGCCGTTTTCTGCTCTTTCTTGTCAAATGCACCACGTACGTTACGAAAAAAGTAACTTTAAATAACTTTAAAGTAACTTTAAAAAGAGGCAAACTGAGGAAAACCTAGGGAGTACTGAAGAAACGTGAGCAACAGTGGAGCAAGGACAGAGAGATCCGTTACTGTCTGTGTGTGTGTTTTACTCGTTTCATGCTCGTACTTGTCAAAAATGCTTTATCCGTACCGTATACTCGTCTGAAACGAGTACCCGGCTCATCCCTAGAAGCCACGCTGTCTCATGCAGTTGTAGCATTGATAAACTACATATTTAGGAATTAAAGGCTGTTGCTATTCAGCTTATGTTTTAATTCCTAAGAGATCAAACATATTGACGAAGGAAATTATATGCACATATATATATATAAAAGACATGTGAGTGCAGTTAACCTTATCCTGATTTACTGTGTCCTGTATGATTGTGTATATGTGCACATGATCTTCTTGTCACTGTTAAACATTACTGATTATCATAAATAATAATTATTATTAACCAAAGAATAATTATTTGTTTCAGTAATTAAACACCGTTATAATGAACCATGATGATTATTTATGAACATTGTAATAGACAGTGAAAAGAGTTTATTAAAAATGATTCTTTTAAATCTTTAAGTGTCATTCGTCTTGCGGATGGAACAGCAGTCAGATAAAGGCAGTCAGATTAAAGGGGTGATAGACCAACATTCAGTCTCCTGTGAAAGAAACACTGTAGATTGTCATAGCAGCCAGGTCAAAGTGACCCAGGCTGTGTGTCTGACCTGAGGGTCAAAAACCAGGCCTTTTCAGTGATGCTACACAGTCCTATATGTGTAACACACACACACACACACACACACACACACACACACACACACACACACACACACACACACATCCCTCATCCTAACCTTAACCCTCATTTAACTGATGCGGCACCGAACCAGCTCGTTTAACTGCACCTAAACCTTAACGTTTCACTATTTATAACCTTCCCCTCTCCCTCATCCTAACCTTAACCCTCTTGCTACCTAAAACGTTACTCTCACTGTGATCAAGCATTTGTTTCCCCTGCATTCTGACTCTGACAGTCAGAGTCTGACTGTCAATTTTCGTATTTGCCACCCAAGGGGAACATTAGAACATACCACCTGGTGAGGGGGAGGTTACAAATACCCTCTACTTTTAACCTCCACCGTGGTAGTTGAAACCTCCCCCTCACGTTGGCACGGTCCAAACTCGACCAATGACAAGGTGGCTCCCACCATTCACTTCATAGAGCCGGCTTTTAGAGCGATCGACACATCACTAACGTGTTCGCTAGCAAGATGGTTAAGGTTAGGATAGGGGTGAGGGGAAGATTAAATAAGAGGACAAGGTTAAATAAGAGGATAAGGTTAAGGTGAGGTACAATGAGCTTGTTTGGTGCCCTGGCTGCGGACATCCCATCGCGTCAGTGTAACGCTGCATTGGGATCTGCATTCAAATAAGGGAAAAACCCCTTTTCGCACATAAGTAACGAAAAAGGGCACTTTTGGCATCAGGGTTCTGACGTGGAGGGTGGCTGACCAAGCGTTTGTTTTTGACGCGCTGGGAGTGAGAACGTGTTGTTTTGAAATAATTTAATCTCATATTCTGGAGTAAAATAAAGAAACAAGCTAAATCATCACATATCTGTGGCATCAAGAAGCAACTTCTGAGTTCAAACACAGGGATGGAGCACAGTGTTTACAACTGAAATAGTATCAGGATGTTTTAACTCACAGAGGCCTGCAGGTCTTCTGTTTTACGAGCAAAGGGCTGAGAATCTGCTTGTTATGAGCGCTATACGTTACTTTGCCACTGCCGTGCGGAGCAGTTGGGAGACACATGTCAAACACGGAACCGAGTCCGCCTACCGAACCGAGCAGAATTCTGATGACGTCACACCGGTGCGCGATGGTGCATGTTCCAACCCACAGGAGAGGAGGGAGAGAGGAGATAAACAGTGAGTTGATCACAGGGACTGAACTAATGTTTTAGAGCAAAACTCCAGTAAAAATGGCAGTTTGTCCTCATTATCAAGTGTAGACACCTCCCACCCCCCACGGTTTAGACGCGGCGCTCATGCAGGTGTCTCTTTCTGTTCCGACACTGCTACACGTAATATTCTTAATTTATTAAGCCTATAATTTACTTTTACTCAGTAACGGATATGATTTTAAATGTAGCGAATTACAATTGTTTTTAAAAAAACTTATTCAGGTAAAAGTAAAAGTACAGATTTTAAAAACGATTTAAAAAGTTTAAATATACTAAAAAGCTACTCAATTACAGTAAAATGAGTAAATGTAATTCATCACTTTCCACCCCTGTTTCCATAACAACTCAATGTTTCATAGAGTATAAATTATAATACGCTGTCCTACTTTTTAAGTTCTCAAGGTCTGCACTCACATTTGTCCTTACAAAGACACACACAACACAATTTTATACAAACACAAATTCACATTTTAGGATTCGAGAACTAGTCCCTGGTGGCCTCCTGACTCCAGAGATTTGAATGTCTTTTTTTGTAACACCACACTGTCTGTCTTTCCAACAGGAACGTCTGTTATGAAGGTTACTGCCTCCGATGCTGATGACCCCACATACGGCAGCAGTGCTAGAGTGGTCTATAGTGTGCTGGATGGAGAAAGATTTTTTACTGTTGATAAACACACGGGTAAGAAAACACTTCCAAAATGGTCAAACTATCTTATTTTCAAATTTCCTAATGTTTTGTGTTCCAATTATGCCAACTCTAAAGCCTTATTTTTATTTTATTTCTTTGAGTAAGTTTTGAACTTTACTCTTTCTGTGAATGGCCTTGGTTTGAGAAAACAGGTAATTTATGACTGGCCGAACCAAACAAGACCAAGTTAATTTAAATTAGCCCTAACCCTAAAACATTTCCAATCAAAAACAATCACAATTGTTCTTGTAAATGTGTTTAGTTACATTGTCATCAGTTTTGCAGATGTCAGTCAACAAGACAGTCTGCCATACACTGTTGAAGAAAATGCAAATACATCCCTTCTAAATAAATGAATCAAGTACCTCTATCCAACCCTAACCCATCGTGACTCAAAGAAAACCCCAAGTCTAAATAGTCCAAAGCTGATGCCAAAGCCATTTTAAACGAGCTGTCACCATCTTTGTTTTTTCACTCAATCACAGTAGCATCCCGCCCACCAAATGGTTAGATGACCTAGAGCACCTAAACCGATATTATTAAGACACAAGACTGGTCCTGTCTGCTGGGGCTCTTATGGGGCGTGGCTGGACCAACCCATAAAGCAACATCGTCTGTCTAGATTTCTAGACTAATATTTATTTGCTTTTGCCCTGAAAGTCCAACCCAGTTTTTAGGGTTTATGAGACCAGTAAAAATGGTAAATGGCTTGTATATGTATATGTATGTACATCTCTCGACAAGGAGCTTTGTAACATGCTTAACACAATGTGAAATGGGATTTTCTTACCTGTTTAGGGCTGATTAGGCTGGTGCGTCAATAAGGAAATAAGTAGTTGACAAAACTTTTTTTTGTGAACAGTTTCTAAGTCCCCTCTAGTCTGTTAGTCTGAGGTCAGATAGCTGAGTGCTGGCAGGCTGGTTGTACATCTATTACAGTTTTTCTCCATTGGTTTGGCTCATTTCTTGGAACAAAAATTATGTTCTCAAAATAACATGGACAAACCTCCAAACCTCTTGGTAAATGTTCGAAACAGAATGGCATTTCTCATTCATTTTATCAAATGGCAAATGACTTAGTACTTGTCTCAATTGCCTCAATGCATCTTTGCAAATTATTAAGTACATGCAGGCTACAGTTATACAGTTAGCCCACATTTAGCACATTTTCCAAATGAATAGATCTTGTAGATCTAAACCGATTAGTTCATTCTCAGTCTAATGATCATTCTCTCCAAAACATGTCAGCATGTTTTCATTGTATAAGTACCCACATGCACATCTGTCCAATTGTCAGAACTGGTCAAGAACATAATACAATGAATAACATTTATGAATTTCTTTGAATATTTGATACATTGATGACAGTCATTGACAGTCAGGTGAAACTAGACTAACGAACGGGGAGTGTCACACACAGGTGTTTTCCATGATTGTGTGCTGCCAAACACAGATATATAGAGCTTGACCAGCGCCAGTCCGATCTCTGAACATGGATAGACAAGGCCAAGCAAACAGAAGAAGAAGAAGAAGAAGAGGAGGACTGAGAATGTGTCGTGGAGGAATGCATTTTGGGGGCACTGACTATTCAGATTAGAAAGAAATGTAGTTTTGACACATGAGTAAACTGTTTTAGGAGCGATATGAGCTTTTGCAGGTAAACCATGTTGTTGTGATCAACCATCCAGTTTTATGTTGAGAGAGTGATGAGAATGTCCGATCTGTGTCGAGAAATGAGCCAAAGCTATTGAGGAGGATCTTTGCCATTTTGGAGACACTGGCTGTTTAAATGAGAAAGAGATTTAGATTAAAGCCTGAGTGAATAGTTTTGGAAGAGATATGATCTTTTGCAGGTGAGCTATAGTGTTGTGCTAAACTGTAAAAGTGTTTTGCCAGATTGTCTTAGAGATTTGAGAATGTAATTTCTGTTTCAAGAAATGAGCCAAACCAATGGAGAAAAACTGTAACATACAGCCCATGCAATGGAGTGTAAGAATGGATTTGATTGTCTCACTATCGCCCTTGAAACATTTGCAAGAAAAGAAAACCCTTGAAATTATATGTCTGAATGTGTGAATATGATTCAGCCACGTTCACATTTAGCTGACAAAATGATCCCCCATTTATATATGGAAAGCCTACCATTTCCCTACAGACATGGAGCTTATAGGAGCAGTAAGACCTGACCTACAGTCTTTCAGGAGAACCCTCGCATTGGTGTTTGAATGCCGTCCCCCAGGGAAAAGCACTAAAGTTTTAATGATTCCTTTTTTTGGTGTCCACCACTCTGATATGGTCAGGGTGCCTGGATGATAAATGACTCTACCTCGGTGGGATAAGCCGGGAGACTGGATGGTTCATTCCAGCTCCTACTCACATCCCTTGTTTCCACCCAGCCCATCCCACAACCTTTGAAACAGACAAGCCTTAAGGATAGGATGAGAAGGTGGGTGGATAATAATAGACACGATAATAGATGTGAGTCAAGAGGGTCAACATATGGAAGAGGCAGAGAAGCTGTGAGATCAAACTCTCAATAATATCACTTTCAATCACCTTGACAACAAATTCAGTAGCAAATTGCTGTGTTGTCTTCTGCCAATGTGGTCGTGCACACACGGTCTTGAGAAGAGTTTGACCATGAGAGTCATTCTTATTTTCTAAGGAGTAAACAGTGTACCAACAGTGACTTCATGTTAATGTAAAATATCCATTTTTATGCATAGATATAGTCAAATGTTTTGTACTTTTAAAACAGTTTTTAGCTCCTATTTGTTTTGAGTTATCATTCAAGTCATCCATCCATTCATCCATTTTCATCCACTTATCCAGAGCTGGGTCGCGGGGGCAGTAGCCTAAAGCGAGAGGCCCAGACTTCCCTCTCCCCATCCACTTGGGCCAGCTCCTCCGGGGGAATCCCAAGGCGTTCCCTGGCCAGGTGAGAGACATAGTCCCTCCACCGTGTCCTGGGTCTACCTTTAGGTCTCCTACTGGTTGAACGTGCCCGGAAAACCTCACCAGGGAGGCGTCCAGGAGGCATCCTGACCAGATGCCTGAGCCACCTCAACTGGCTCCTCTCAATGTGGAGGAGCAGCAGGTCTGCTCCTCAAGTCATTCAATTTATTTTAAAGTTACATAAACAAATTGAAAGAAGAAGCTAGCTATTAAATGCAAATATGGTCACGAAGCTCTCACCGCTCCCATTGGGTATTGTCCCTTGGCCACATTTGTCGGAACTGGAAACCCGCATTGCCAGAGGAAATGAGAGAGCGCTAAACACAAGTCGCCATTTTTTTTAGGTCCAAACGTCTTTTGTTATCCGTGACCTTTTTTTTTTTTTTTTTTTCCTTTTTGGGACTCTGGTAGTAATGCATTTGCTTCGGTATAAGGATGGACTGTCACTATTTATGTTAGACTGAAGGTTCTACATGCTAAGTGTTTGCACTTTGCCAGGCCTTTTTCAGGAAACTCTCTTTATATGTATTGGAATATCTCAATGTTAAGATAAGTGCTGCAGTTATGACCAGAGTTATAAAAGTATGAGTAAGGCTTTGGTTTTTCTTTACAAAAACATGTAACACATAATTATTGTAATTACTTGGGTTGCACATTTCAAACCACAATGGTACCAATTATGAAAAAGTGCCTGCAGCTGTATACAATGTATGGCTCAGTATGTTGACTCTTGCAAGGTTAAATGGATTGAAACAGTAAAAGACGTAAAAGGCAAGCATATATCTCAGACAAGTTTACGTCCTTTCCCAGCTGTCCAAATAGTAGAATAGGTGACTCTTGATGCACACGTGAACATTTGACATCTATTTCTTCACTTAAACCTTTGATGCACAATGGTCACAACAGTGGACAGGTACTCTCTCTCTCTCTCTCTCTCCTTCTCTCTCTCTCCTTCTCTCTCTCTCTCTCTCTCTCTCTCTCTCTCTCTCTCTCTCTCTCTCTCTCTCTCTCTCTCTCTCTCTCTCTCTCTCTCTCTCTCTCTCTCTCTCTCTCTCTCTCTCTCTCTCTCTCTCTCTCTCTCTCTCTCTCTATGTATTTATTTATTTATTTATTGCTATTAAGAACAGCTGTTGAAGACATTATTACATTTGAGCCCCTCCATTTGGACTTCAGTAAGTCAAGCCAACATATTTCATGTTCAGAATGCACGCTGTCCACTGAAGTGGACATGTAATAAATTATTTGTGAATTATTAAATGTTACAAAAAGTATATGTTGAAATTTGTTTCATTCACACCTAAAGATGAATGAAAAAAATTGTTAAAAAAATCATGGTTGAAGATTTCATAATCCATGCATCAAAGGGTTAGTCAAAATGGGATATATAAAAAAGAAGTAGAAAGTTAGTTATTATCCTATTAAAGGTGTGATTCACTGAAAAATCATATACATGCCATAAGCATTAGTGCGGGGGTAGGGTGGGGGTGGGGTTACTGTCTACAAGTGGGTAGGATAGTTGCAGCAGTCTGCTCAACCCCCTTGTCGGGGAGCGCCAACACCCTGAGGCTGTTCTGGGGTTCTCCAGAAGGCACAGATTGCCAGTCCACCTCAGAGTGGCTACTGATAGAAAATAGATGCATTTGAAAAGCCTGACAGATCTACATCGCATCACATTACACTCAATGAATGAATGAATGAATCAATCAATCAATCAATCAATCAATCATCAATCATCAATCAATCAAGAAAGCAATCACTCAATCAATCAATCAATGCTTATTTAGAAAGCACCTTCCACAACCCTCTATGGAACCCCAAGGCATTGGACACAGCACATAAAAAAAAACTAGAACGCAGTACAATAAATAAAAGTAAGAACAAAAAACACAGAAAAGGCAACACAACTGGGTCAATCTCAAACATGATCAGAGAACTCTAAAATTAGTTTGAAGACGGCTCTTAAAAACCAGCAGGAATGGAGGCAGTCTAATCGACAGTGTCAGCTGGTTCCAGATTGAGGGAGCTGAAGCTGAGAAAGCCCAGTACCCACGAGTCTGAAACCTATTACAAGGGACAGCAAGCAGGCTCTGATTAGAGGAGCACAAAGAGCGTGGTGGAACATAACTATTCAGGAGTGTAGTTAAACAGAGGGGAGTAGATCCCTGAAAGAAATTAAAAACAAATACGAAAAGTTTACATAATGGCCGAAAACAGAGTAGCACCGGACTGATGTGATCTTGTTTCCTAGAATCAGTCAGAAACCTAGCCGCACAGTTCTACACTGTCTGAAGACGATGTGACTGATGTTCATGGACTCACCCATCTTGACTTCCAGCAGAGAATGTCTCAACCAGCAGAAGACAACACTGACATTAGCAACTCTACCACACAGCAGAAATTATTCCCCATTATGACTTACAAGGCATTCATTCCCACTAGAGACCACTGCAAATGTATTGCATAAACTAGTGAACCAAACCTATAAAGCCACCTCTGCCAGCAGTTTGTTTTGGATAGCTGTAGGTACATCAACACAATTCTAAAGTGAACACAATCAGCGAGCTATAGGCCCAATAGTCAGTCACCAATGAATGTTTTACTATTGAAATGCAGCTAAAACTACACTCCACTGGAAAGGAACTATTGCACTGGTTTTGATTCCTTCCTTTGCTGCAACCCCCTCTCTCTCCCCATATTATATCAATTTCACTGTGCCCCTCACATGTTTTCTAGATGTCAACTTTATAGGCATGAGTGTGCTTTTCCCACCGTAGACAAGTTATAATGCTGCTCAGGGTGGCTGTAGCTTGCTTTCATTCTGCTCCTATATATTATTCATTTTAATACAACTGAGCCATAAAATGATGTATGTGCAGAGGGGCAAAAATGACACGGCCTCTCCCATCAAGAGGAAAAACTGAAATACACTGCACTTATTCCTTCATAACACACCACTTAGCAGAGGGTGATATCCGAACTGAAAGTGGAAATGGAACCTGTTATTGCATAAGTGCTAACAACTGATGTAACCTTTCCCGTGGCCTCATTTACTTACTACTCTTCCTCTTCTCTGCCTCTTTTTTCCCAAACTCTTCTATCACTCATTAGGAATAATCATGACAGCAGTGGCGGATTTGGACCGCGAGACACAGGATCGTTATGAGTTGGTCGTCAAGGCAACAGACATGGCAGGACAAATGGGTGGTCTCTCTGGCTCCACCACAGTGACCATAGTGATCACAGACGTTAATGACAACCCGCCACGCTTCACACAGAGTAAGTATAACCCGCACATTCTCTTACCTTGGACTTTAAAGGAGATGGTGATGTAGGAGGAGAAAGCAGTTGGAAATGACAGACAGACTGTTCTCTTAGCAAAGAAAAGAAAAGAAATAAAAGAGCGTAATAAAAGATGCATAATGTGCCTTGGAAACCTGCAGGCCACTGACACCAAATGGTAGCTGCATGATTGGCTTGCATACAGCAAAAGAAAATCACCTAAATTAAATTTATGGACCATTCATACAGGCAGCCCATAACAAAGTTATCTATCAATCGCGGAGAACTGATTCGTTCCACTGCACATTTGATCATGTTTTTTAAGGAAAGCTCATAAATGGTTCAGTCGATACAGCTGATTGGATATTATGGTGATTTTTTTTTCCAGTCTTTATGACTCACACAAAGCTTTGAGTGTTCACGGACTCAACAAGCAGATTTAAATCATTATCCAAATTATTTAATCATAATTTAATCACCTAACATCACATGCACCTTTAAAAAAAAGAAGTAAAGTTTAGACATCGATCAAGTACGTTTAGTGCCCTGATGGTTTTTATACTTTCGTAAAGTAATGGTTCTCTAAGACGCCAAATAAAATTCTCCGGACAGCTAAACCTGACTGAGAAGTAATAAGATGTGTTACTAAAATTGTGATTTTCCTTCCATTTCCCCTTTTTGATGTTGTTTTCTTTTATTTGAAGACAAAGTAGTACTATAACCCTATAATAGCAGTGCATTTGATTAAGCTAGAGGTGCAGCCAGTTTAGCTGGTAGAGAGTGATATGTCTTCACACACCTTTTCATATTTGTGTATGAATCCCTTTTTCATCTCTGTAAATCATATTTGCCCAGTCAGAGTGATAAGCCCTCCAGAAATACGGTGGTGCCACTGCAGGATATGGAAAACAGAATCTGAAATACAGTTCCATAAATCAGCTGCACAGGAGGATGACATACGGTATATGTAAGGACTTTTATGCTTAAACATGATTTCTTTCCTTGTAGCCATAGAGTTTAATATTCTGCCTATATATCTAGTTTTTAATGATCTCTGGCTGGTTTTATGTTTTATTTGGTTTTGTTTTGTTGTAAAGACAAAACATCTGGTTCAGTATTATAATTAAAAAAACAAATTTTAAATTACAAAATAAAAATATTTTATGGCAAATATGTAATTTTTTTGGGCAAATATGTAGGGATGGTGGCAACAACACTGTTGTCACCTTTAGGTCATTAATGTTAGGTAAAAATTGCTGACATTAACGATACTCTTAAGGTAACCTGGTTTGCAGGAAATAACCGAACAATTAAAGGTTTGGAACACTGAAAAAAATGCATTATTATTTCTGATTATAATCAGTCACTCTGAGTCTAAATGCAGGTTGAATGTGAAAATAGTCTCCTACACCTGTCTCCTGCTTTATCTTCTGATAGAAAATAGATGGTGAAGCTCTAGGAATAGAAAAGCCTGTCAAATCTACATCAAGCTGACACTTGGACTCACCTATCTTGACTTGCAAAGGGGAAGGTTGTTGTTTTAGCATCCAGGAAACAGCATTGAATGCCTCAGCTAGCACAAGCTAAATGTATTACTCCATTCAATTCAATTGAATTCAATAAAAAAAGACTATTAATCCCAGAGGGAAATTCCACCACATGGCGGAAGCTCCTCCAGGTTTGTGGTATTTGTGGTGATTAAACATCAATGTCGCAAAGCAAACTGAGTCAGCGGTAGAGTCACGTTGCTGTTATCCAATCCGGGATGTCCAAATATCAGGAAATAATACTCACAGTCCTGCTGTCCACTGCCACTTTCTGCTGCAGCACACAGATCCAATTTCTTCTGGGCATTTTCCCCTTGAGTTCAACGTGTAAGGCTTTCATTCTTACCCGAAACCACTGCAAATGTATTGATTAAATGGGTGTTCAACACCTTTAAATGTTGAAACTACTAGATGTTGATATCTGTTCATCTGCCTATATCTGTTCAGTGTTATTAGCATCTCATTTTCTTGCTTTTCTCACCTTTCTGTCCTTTTTATATTCTCTAATTCTCCTCCTAGTCAAACTCTCCTCATCTTTCTTCTGGTGGTGTTTTTTTTATAACTCCATCTATCTGTCTTGTTTGAACTGTCTATACTTTCTCCCTCTGGCCACCTTCTCAATTTACCAGAGATGAACCAGTTTTCGGTGTCAGAGGGAGCAGCTGTGGGGACGCCGGTTGGACGCGTCATTGCTACAGATGCAGACATGGGAGAAAACACAGATATGAGCTATCTGATCAAAGATGGAGGAGAGCTCTTCAAGGTCACAACAGATTTAGAGACACAGGAAGCCGTTGTCTCCATCAAGAAGGTACATTTGGAACTAAAGCTGTGTCACAGAGCTGTTGTTGTTTGTTGTTTACCAATGTTGGCTTTCACAGCAACTACAACAGTTACACAGAATCTTGGCAAAATGTGTTAAGCCAAAAAAATAAATGGGCAATGGGATTAATGTCTTTTTTGAAAAGACAAATCAAAGAGATTTATTTGGCCGGAGTTACAGTAGGAACGCTGGGTACAGACCAGAGGAAGCTTTCTAGTTAAAAACCATCAGACTGACTGTTTAGCACGGTTTGGCTTGGCCGTTGCTTTTCTTCCTTAAGACTGGGCAGCTTGGTGTCAATGTTTGTTGTTTCATGAATTTTGCATGATATCAGAAAAAACTTTGAGATAGAATCTTTGGTCATCTGCTCAAAGGTTGACTTGGAAGTAGACTTTTCTTTCTTAGTGGTATATCATACATACAATTCAAACACATCCTAGTGCTTGGCTTCTTGGAAAAGTATGAGTAATTGGAATTCAGCTGGTGAGAAATCAGCATGAAGGCCGCAACGCCTTTTCAGAAATGCTGACACACTGACATGCACTGTGATACACAAAATGAGATTGATAATTGATGCACATTGTTGAAAATATTATCTGTCAGCTTTTTGAAAAAGAAAGTTAAAGGATGCAATGGCCACATTTTCACATAAAGTACAGAGATGTAGGAAGTGTATGTCTTTAAGGAAACATTGCTTGTTTAAATGGGGCCTAGAATTACCATTGATGAGGGAATGTTAATTACTCATACTAGTTGTTATGTACTTGTTGGGTGATACTGCTGGTACACAGTCACCCTAACAGATTTTCACCCTAATCCAAACTGACTCGCAGAGCTCCTTACAGTTTTTAAAAAAATTAAGTAAAAGTCCTGTAATGCTAGTTGAAATTAATTTCATTTATACGACGACAGCTGACAAGTTTATTAAAACAGAAGGCTGACCCCTACTTCACACTGGAAGCAGTAGCAGTGCGGAACGGCAGCAGATCGTCACTGCCTCAACTAGAATTAATTATAGTCCACACGGGTGATTCAAACCAGCCACGACACGGCCATTTTCAGCATGCCGTGCTGCCAACAACAGGGTGGGTTCTATTTTTGCCACAAGCTGGTTCTGGGACACATCAATTTCAGCAAACATGGGGCTAGACAGGAAATCACATCTGATAATTTTCAAAATAAAAGTCTACTGTAGTGATGCAGTTTCATATCTATGTATGCTATGTCAATACATGGGACCTAATTGCTTATTTACTACCTGCATCATTCGAGAAGTGCAACAGTGTGTTTTTTCATGGCTTTAATCCTGGAAGTGGAGAGAAACAACATCATATATGACATCAAACAGCAATATCAAATGTGATTTCCTGTCACGTTGTGGGGATGTTTAGGACCCAAATATGCAGATTACCCAGACGACAAGAGGCAGAAGTTGGTTCAAAGTAAAAATCATTTTATTTGCAGGATAAAAGAACAAAAATAAATCCAAGGCAGCAAGCCAAAGTCCAAAAGTCCTGGAGCACAGGACACCCAAAGCTCTCTTATTATGGGCCATTTCCATCTGTGCCAGGTGGCCCCAGTCGGCCCAAGCCTGGCCCGGTTGATTCCACACATCTTTGCCTTAAGCCCATGTGGGCTTATTCTACCCACCAATCAGAGGCTTGCTCTAATGGAAGGTGTGAATTTGCTGTCAGCAGTGGGTGTGTTGGCCCTGGTCAGCCTGAAGCAGACCCCCTCGAGAAGAGGGCTGAGGATGTGCCTTGGTTTGCCCGAAAATATACCAGGCCACCCAGATATGTAAACAACCTATGCTACCTGGCCCGGGCCGACCCGGTACAGATGGGAATGGCCCATTAGAGCACCAAAAAACCTAGAGACAAGAAGCTCACTAAGAGCACGAAGACCTAGAGACGAAAAAGCTCAGACAGAGAACGAACACACGCTGACAGAAATACAATGGACCGACAACCACACAGAGACAAGACAGGGCTTAAATAGACTGGGAAGATGAGAGGCAGATGAATTGCAGGTGTGTGGGGAGAGGGACCAGGTGAACACAATTACTAACTCAGGGAGGAGGAAGAAAACATTGGTGGGAAAACACACACTAAATAATGAAAGGCTGTAACAAAGGAAAATGACCCTAGAGAAAAACAAAAGACCAGAAGGCATGAACATAACTAATATTCTAAGGGGAAGCTGACACTAAAGGAAAACACTACAGAAAGAAACTACAGGGGCGTGGCTAAGAGGGGGCCAAGAGAGCACAGGACCTGGGAGAGGGAAGTCTGAGGAGGGAAACCTAGAGGGCAAATGGGGAACACCAGGAGACACATGAGGAAGACGCAGACACGACACATGAGGGCGCTAGAAGACACAAAAGGAGCACCTAGAGACGAATGAGGACAAAAGGAGACACATGAGGTGAGAAGCAGACACAGACCATGACAATTTCCTACGTTTTGGTTTATTTGTGGATGGCATAAAGAAGCCATGACCCTTGAAGTCTAAATAGATTTTGTGATCTTGTGAACCAAGCCAGGATCATGGTAGAGCTCCATGGCTGGGATTCTTCTGGTGTGTACTAGCATGCAACAAAAGTTGTGAGTAAACCATTCCCCTGCCCTTCCGCTCTGCTGATGCCTCCAGTGTGAAGTAGGGGAAAGGCTAGAAAGAATCCAACTAAATGTTTTTTTTCTTTGTGTCTGTGATGACCTGAAATTACAATTGCAGTGAAATAAAATGATTTTGACCAGAGTTTATTTACAACAGGATTATTAGATTACTATGGATTATGTGTACATGCTTCATCATTTCAAACTGAATGGATCGGATTGTGAAAAGACTATTATATAAGAATAGTATATCTTTTTAGTATCTATAGACATTTCTAAAGTAACTAAAGCAATATTTATTGATGATTTAAATTTAAATTGTATGAACAAATAGATTTTTAATTCTTTAAAAATGACACATACCCCTTACACCTGTCTGAATTCTTGCATTTTGCATTCTCTGTGCATCCTGTGTGCATCTACACATAGGACACAATGAGAGCTCATAATAAAGTGGGCACTTAGAGCTGCCCACTTGAATTTGGATCATACAAGATGCACCTTTACATTTGCATTACATTTACTTTTTTTAACAAACACTTTGTCCTCATGAAACAACATTAAACCTTCAGTGCTGTAAGATACTCTGTCATATGCCTCAAGTACGCTCTTATAAAAAAAAATGGCAGGATAGGTTGGTGCAAAGGTGCAAAACAAAGCCTGAGGGAGTGATTTGGGGTGTAAGAGATACATTGGCACATTGTGCAGCTTGTTCCATAATCCCATAACAAAAAATGAAAACAGTCTCTACTTGGACAGCTCTGTACTTAAAAAATGCATTACATGACACGTTTAATTAAAACAGATATTGCTTCAGGTGAAACATCAGCCGGTATGATTGACGTTAGATTGGTGGATTGAAACCATGTAGTCATTTTGCAGGAAACCTGTCAGTGATTTGAATTTGGACCCGCAGGTAGCTACTAAAGTTAATGGGTAATTAGGTGGCATGTGCTCTTTTTGGCTGATCAAACACCAGATTGCTGATGTGTTCAGTACCATCTGTAGGGGTTCCAATTTGTTTTCTGCTTGAAGGCAACCATAGTAGTCAGGACAAGAGATGAAGGTGGCTCTGGTTTGTGTCAATCACTCATTCAAACTCAGCCACATATGTTTTATATTGTATCAGTCAGGGGTAACTGGGTGTAGTATCTATGCTGGAATGTTATGTGATGATACAACTTGCTACATCCCATGCTGTAGTTCTTTTTTAAAACACAGAACAGTTTTGTTACCTGTTTGCCCGCTACGTTTCGTTTGCGGCTGCAAACTTCCTCAGGCTGACGCTGATGGTGGCGTCACTTCCTTCTCCGGATATCCGCCACCATCAGCGTCAGCCTGAGGAAGTTTGCAGCCGCAAACGAAACGTAGTGGGCAAACAGGTAACAAAACTGTTCTGTGTTTTAAAAAAGAACTACAGCATGGAATTAGAAATACGACACAGCAAGAACACACCTAAGATGTACAACTTGCTACAGCCATGGGTTATACAGGTTTAGCTTCGTTCAATTAAAAAAGACGTGCTTACTTTTAAAATGTGACTGCGGACCATGGTTGCGACACTGTTTACTCACAAGATTGTTTCTTTTTTTTCCAGCCTTTGGACTTTGAGAGCAAGCAGACACACAATGTTGTTGTAGAAGCAGTAAACAAGCATGTTGACCCTCGCTTTGTGGACCTGGGGTCTTTCAGAGACCAAACCATTGTTCGCGTGAGTGTTTCGGACATCGACGAGCCACCCATCTTTCAGCCTGCAGATGGCACAATAATGGAAGTTCAGGAGGATGCCAAAGTTGGGTCGGTGGTTGGGATCGTCACTGCCCGGGATCCAGATGTGACGAATAAACCTGTGAGGTATGAAAGGGGTAGAAAATAAACGGAGTTGTTCCTGACTTACTGGATTTATTCTGCAGTTACAACATACTCCAGATTTTGTGTTGCTGGAGATGCCTTCTCACCTCTGAAAATGCAGAGTAGGAGAATTGTCTGCAGTTTCCACCAAGTCAAAAGAAACACACTTTCTGTACTTTGTTTACAGTTGCCTAAATTTTAAAGTATGTCACTCGATTCAGGTATTGCTCTAAAAATGTGCGTCACTTCCGAAGATCAAAATGGATTTATCCCACATCCCTATATTTCTCTTTGCATACTCCTTAACCTCGACTCTCAGAGGTTTGCTCTGATTATACTTTTGCACTTATTATGAGAATAAATACATTTCAGCTTGGAAAATATTCTGTTTTCAGCTGTATCAAGAAGCATTTGTCTTTAAACCCAAAGCTAAAGATAATATTCAAGGGATACTATGCAACTTTTTCAGCTTTTTTAAATTGTTTTCTTCAGCCAGTATGTGTTAAAATGATCCTCTACAGCAGTGGTTCCCAAACTTATTTAGCCGCGCACCCCCTTCTATGTCCCGACCATGTCGACGCACCCAGCCCCCACATCGGGGCATGGCTCTCTCTCTCTCTCTCTCTCTCTCTCTCTCTCTCTCTCTCTCTCTCTCTCTCTCTCTCTCTCTATATATATATATATATATATATATATATATATATATATATATATATATCAGATGTCAAGCTAAACAGAGAGGGTTAAAAAAATTCCCTATCACTTTCATTTTTTAAATAGTAATTAATAAGCATTCGATACCATTACAATTTCCTTTGATTTCATTTTGAATAAATATTTAGAGTGCCCAGGTAGCACATAAACAATGCAATTTAACGGTTTTCTTAAAGTAGGAACGTTTAACCTGTGCGGCCAGAGCGCTCTCCTTCCTTCTGCTCTGCGTAAACCTGAACTGATCACCTACTTGTGCGTAATCATATGTCAATAGGGGACAAGATATAGCCATGATGTTCACTTTTGCCTCAGACCGACTTATTGCTGTTTTATGGTGTGGCTGAATCTGCGATCCGCTGTCATGCAGACCGGAATAACAAATGCTGCAGTAACGTGAGTTGTAGTCAGGTTCTGAGTCACTGGCTGGAGCGGACCCGACTCATCCCAGAAGCTAATGTCTTAATTTGACCTTGAATGAAAAATAACCTCTTAAAAGTTGTTATCACGGTGGAGGCAGCGTTCATTTCTGCCTTCAGTCTGACAGCGCGCCGGAGTTAAAGCAGCGTGTGCGCTTATTAAATCTGTGTGTGTGTGTGCGCGCGCGCACGCGCGGCACAGCCGCTCAAGTCACCGCGTCTCGCGCTATTTAAACCAATGTTGTAAAATGACTTCTGCCCAGCCCAGATGTGCTCACTTGTGCACCCGTGGGCCGTGGTTCCGCTGGAACACGTCTGACCTCTGACAGACGCACTCTGAACTTCAGATCTTCAGCGCGCTGTCAATAGCCTGAATGGGAATCATTTCTTGTTATTTTGTTACATCCACAATGTTCTGTGTGTGAGGTTTACAATGTCAGAACACCTGCAGGTGTTAATTACAATCTGCCAGAATGACTCGCCACCTTCAGATTTCTCCAACACCGTTAAAATGATCAAATACGGAACATATCGGCGTGCGCAGGCCAGAGTGCTGAAGCTCGGCGCATTGTTATTATGAAGCTAGGGCACATGCGGAGGACACGCACGCGCGCAAAAATATACTTGTTTTCAATTACATTTATTGTGCCCGCTTACTTTTTCTTAGGCCCACCCACAAATGAGTTTCTGGCTACGCTAATGGTGACATATGACAGACTTCTCTGAGCTCCGCAGCCATTACACTTTTCACCTCGCGCACCCCCTAGCGGCAGCTCTCGCACCCCCAGGGGTGCGCGCACCACACTTTGGGAATCCCTGCTCCACAGGGTTAATGAAATGCCACTGAGACCCCACCATTCTCTGTGGCCACTTGCACTTGCAACTTCAGAGTCGCCGGTCCGGTCCCTGTTATGTTCTACTTTATTTAGTCTTAGTAATGTGGAGCTGAGGTGCCAGTGCTGCAGTCTGCTTCCAGTTGCCTGCATGTTTTTGATCATGAACACAGCTGATATGTTTGATTTAGTGATTAATCACTCCTGTAGAAACTAATGAAGGCTGAAGAGACATTTCAGATGTTAGGTTAAGGTGCAAGACGAATGCACAGCGAGGAGATACGTTTTACTTTAGGTTTCACAAAAGTGGGTTAAAACGGACTCATAGCAAGCTAAAACTACCCAGTTTTCCTTTAAAACACAATAAAATAGCTTTATTTTTATGTTTGTATGAATTTATTTTGAGGGATTGAACATTGAATGTAAACTTATTGGCATCAGTTTTTTATTTATTTATTTTTTTCTGGAATCGACTGACAACCTAAAAAATGCTGAAAATGGTGCACTACACAGCTCATTGCAACAAAGCTGCATGACCCAGTATTCAGGTCAGTTTGATATTGCTGACCCTTTTTTGTTGTTGACTCAAACACAAACTCAAAAAATCGAGACACTCAAACTGCAACAGCAGCATGCCACATAAATTAAGCAGGCAGAGCTAAAGCACACCATGCTACTTGGCTTGCAGAAGTCATGGAAAAAGCTAAATTTGACACTCCCCACTGCAGTGTGGAAGAACATCTGCCACTCACTTCACGGTTCACTTTTAGGGCTAGTTGTTTACAGAAAGTGAATTTAACCATTAAGCAACAAATTGGTCCAAACCGATATGGATGCACGGCTGTGTGCACAGCTGGGTTCTTTGCAGCAGAAATTTTAATTTAAATTTTTTAAATATTCCTTTTTTTTCTCCCAGGCCTAATGTTCAGTACTTGCCCTGCTGGAGTAAAGCCATGCCAACAGTTACAAGATCAGCGCAGAGGGGTGTAGATGAAGTGTTGGAGAGAACTATTAACACTACCCTCTAAAACCACGTACCCTGCAGAGTGCTGTTTCAAAAGGAATAAAAAGACAGCTTTTAAACATGAGACAAGTGATATTTTGATCAAAGCTTGTCACAGAAATTCCAATAAGAGCTTAGAAAATAGTTTATTTTTGATTTTTCACTAAATATAAACAGTTCTCCTCTGCGTGTAGTTAGTGGAACTATAGGAGGGAAACTGGTTTTAAAACAGTTATTTTTAAAGCATCTGTAGCTACAGAACAACAAATGTAGCAAATGCGGTCATGGAACACTCCTCTCAGGTATCTTCCTGAAGATGCTTCTGCCAGAACCAGAAATCCACATTGCCACAGTTAACGAGATAACGCTAAACACCAGTCGCCGTTCTCTAGGGCCAAATGTCTTTTGTTTTCCGTGACTTCAAATGGTGTTTTCTCTTTGTGGCTCTAGTAGTTTGTTCTAAAGTTGAAGTGGTAGCCGCCGTCTGTTTCTCCTTCTCTGATATCACTGAGCCACAAACCTCTCACACCAGTGGTGTCTGTTGCTAAATGCACAAGTGTGTTGTGTACGGAGGGCCCAGGGAAGTGTGGCGGGTCGGAGAGAATAACCACCAGATTATCCAATAATCGCTTTCAGTCAAAACTGTGTTATTGGCAGAGCTTTTTTGATGTGAGAGAACCACTTTATTATGTTGGTGAATGTTCTCAGTCATGTCAGGTCATGGTAATCCAAAAGGGTTCAAATGAAGGAAACTCGACTTCTTCGGTTTCTTGAAGTTTCACTTCTCATCCGAGAAGCTTTGTCAATTTGGACTGTAATATGGGAGGGTCAACTTTATGAACTGTAGCTCTCTATTGTTGCTTAGCAAGCAGACACTCGCTCTGAATACCCCTCCTCCCTAGCCTAGTGAACTAGACCAAATTCTTGCTTTGCAAAGTTTAAATAATACATTTATTTAGTCTGGCTTGCCAGGCTACCTCCTCCCTACACTCTGATAAATCATTAGGGGGTAGGGAGAAGATCGAGATGTTTTCTCTTCATATGAAATGCCAGCAGATCACTGTTTTAACCTCAGATTACTTTTATGGATAAAATTTCAGTGTCTGTATCAAGGTCTTCGTGTAGAAGAACAAATGTAATCTGAGATGGAGAAAGTGAGCATCTCACTGACAGAAGATACACCAACGCACGTACAGAATGTCCTCTGAAAATGACCCTGATCAAAAATTCTTGACATCTAAAGTTCTACTTGTGATAAAGCCCAGCACAAGGAACACTTGAAATGCTGTATTTGGGTGGTAACTTTGTACATGTATATATGATGGGAAAGATAGGGGAGTTTCTGTGGTTGAATGAGTGGGAACACAAAGACAGATTTAGGCATCACAGCTTTCCTAAACTCCACCTAGTGATTCACTCAGATTTGAGAGTAAAAACACACATAGTGTTGCTCTCATAACCAAAACTAAATATACATTCAGTCTAGGAAAGAAAGAAACAAATGGCAATAGCTGAAAGTAGCACTGAGCTATAAAACAGCACCAAAATGTCTTCATATTTACATTAATGTAGATTACTAGAGCTGTGTGCATTTCAGTGATTCAGCCTCTCCAAAACATAAGGACAATGCTGTGTAATAACAATATGTTGTTGTGGGATAGGGTTTCTTTTTAATGATATGTTTGTCAGTGAGTGATATTGAAGCAGAAAATCAAAGCCTTAACTCTTCCTTTTCTATCAATTAGTCAATCATGTGTGTTTTATTCCACATCAGTTTATTCCTTCAACAACAAATCGCCTTCCTCAGTTAGGTCTGAAGAATGCTGGCTGGCATCTCTGTCAGAACCCGTAAGAGCTGATGGAACCCATAGTTCTTTATTATGGTTTTAGTGGGTGCAGTGTGTGTGTGTGTGTGTGTGTGTGTGTGTGTGTGTGTGTGTGTGTGTGTTTTTGGGGGGTTAAGATCAAAGAAACCTTTCAACAGTTTTTTGTTGACTCGCCAATCTTTTCAGAACACCCAAACACCATAGAAGAAAAAAAAATCTATTTATCCTTTTTCTTGTGGGGCTTGTGAAAATGTTGGTGCTTTTTTTTTATCTTCCCTGCTTTTTACCTCAGAGGAGATGACAAACAACCACACGCAACTAGGGACGATTTCAGTAATGCTTCTGCAATCTCTTTGTTTGTATTCATTAGCCTAATACTTGATTACATTTGTCATATTTTTGTTGTTGTAACCATTTTTAAGTTTGATAGTTGCTGTGTATTTATGTTGTTGTTTTTTACAGTGTAAGGGTAAAACAACAGCAGGGGCTTCCATTTCTTTTAGACATTTTTTACTTGGGGAATTGTGGGTTTGTTAATGTGACTGGTAGTGATCGGTCATCTGAACTAAAGCTTCACATCACAATCCAAGCAGAAAAGGACATTTTAAATCAAGATCACATTTGAGACTTGTTCCTTTTCCCCAGAAATCAGAACAATTACAAATAAATCATCCACCCTGGATGTGCTTCTCTGGTTCATCTGGAGCTTTGCACATGGGTTTACCTTTGTAATTTACAGCAAGGATTTTTAGTATATCAATAGAAACACACCAGGTAACTAGCAGAAACAGCAAACAAACAAATACATAAATAACAAATATTTTTCATAAAAGCACAACAGTCTGCTCTGAGTGGGTTGAGTGATGGGGGATTGATCTGACACACCTGGTGCTGCTTCCAGCACATTGTTTTAGTTCATGCGCACATGTGATTTGTTTGATTTAGTGATGAATCTATCCTGTAGAAACTAATGATGTCTGGGGAGACATTTTAGCACTTAGATTAAGATGTTAAAATACCACTATAAAAAGCTACCCTTGTAGATGACTAATTAATGGTTTATAAACAATGGATTAATTAAAGCTGCAATGACGAATTTGGAAAACAAATGAGCATAAAACATAATTTTTCATGCCTTTTATATCATTAACTGCCAGCCGTTTCCTGATCAGTGAAGCCCTTTGCTGCCAGCATTTTTCAGCGTTTTCTCATTTTTTTTAAAGAATCACAGAACGTTGCGCTCTATGATGATGTCAGGGCCAAAACTACCAAAACAAAAAGGACACTCGTCTCTTACATCAGGAAGAATCCGCGTGTTTTGAGTGTTATCCATTCTTTCATAATCCGCTGTCGAATTGTGATCGGCAGAGGTTTTTTCAGTTCGCACCGCACTTTTTTTTTTTACTGCTTTACCAAAACGATCTCCTAAAACATGGATTTTCTGCTTCCTGATCACTTGACGTGTGACGTACGCAGATGAAGATCGGCTTTAGAGCTGGGATGTTTGTTCTCACGGTGCGGGGGCTCGTTCCGATGCCCACACAGTAAAAAATGCAAATGATGACTTTGTTCGTCAATGGCAGTTAATGAGTTAATATTCTAACATAGTATAGTATTTAATGGAGAGAAAGAGACAAAACTGACCAGTTTATTTTAAAAATACTGAGTAAAATCTATGAGCATCTCTATATTTAATCTGGAGTTGGTATATGAAACATTTCAGATGAATTTACAACCTTGTCAGTACAATGAGCATTTGCAAACATGTTTCAGCATATAAAATTGTATCGCTGAATGGTAAAAATCCATGGCTATCAAAGAGATAAAAATAATAATGCACTTATGTCTGCTAAAGTTCCTAATTGATGCATAGTAAACACTCACTGATGTATAAAATGTTACAGATGATTTAATAACATATCTATGAACTATTTATCAGGGGATGAGTGCCAATTGTCAAGTTGTACCAGTCTGAATTAGCTTTAAGAACAGTTTGTGGATCCTTTTAATTTATTTTTGTAACTTGTGTCTTTCCTGTCAGATTCTCCATTGATCGGACAACAGACCAGGATCTGATCTTCCATATTGATCCGGACTCAGGTGCCATCACGCTGGGAAAGGTTTTGGACCGAGAGACAGCGGGCTGGCACAACATCACCGTGAAAGCAGTAGAAGCAGGTAAGCTGGTTTCTGATATAAAATGATGTGAATTTATAGAGCTTTAAAGTTCTGGGACCAGTAGTTACCAACGTTTTTACACAGCAGCAAGTCTGTTTGCTTTTTAGCTTTGAAAAGGCAGGAAATAGAACCGTCATGGCAGAATAAAAGCAGATTAGTTTGCTGAATACAAAAAACTAAATCATAGTGCAGTGCTGTGAAGTAAAAGCTGATCGATAATGCCAAAGAATAATAATACTCTTTTGAAGTTGTTAGTGGTAACTGTCCATGCATCGTTGTGTTTCTCATATAGATGGTAAATATAGTCATTATTTGAGTTTCCATGCTTACAAACACGATAATATAAAAGGAAAGTTGAGCCTTTTTTTCTTCATCTCACTGGGTTATTTTGTCATAGCAAAGAAAATGAAGAACGTAATAACTTGGGGAAGCAGGGAAGTTATTATTATTCCATTAAAAGTAAACTTGGAAATGGAGGAGGTCTGGTTTTTCTCATTTTTTCAATTTTATATAGATGGAGTGATTTTGGGATTGCAGTGAAAGCAGAGGAGATTGAATTCTGCATCTAACTGGGATCTGCCCACTCACACAGAGGAACAAAAAATAAATAAAATAAAATAAATGAAATAAAATAAAATAAAATAAATCACCATAAACAAGACAGAAAATCTTGTTTCCTTAGATGTTTTTTCTTCATATTTCTCTAGACTCTGATTACTTTAAAATTCACTTAAACCTAACGGTATGCAATCTCGCACAATGGGAACATTAATACAAAATTAGGCTGTCTGAGTCCTCTTGGAGTATAATATGGGTCCCTTTGTGTTCGATCTCTTTGTGCTCGGCAACGTGTCAGAGGTGCATTTTAATGTTAATTGAACATTTAAAGGGGCCCCACACCTTTCAGAATCAGAAATAAACACACGCCTGCACTTGAAAGATAAAGCTTCTCACGTCGCCATCCATAGAAACATCTGCACAGACAAAGTCGGTGGTCAGCGCCATCAGAATTCCCTTCCAGAATGTTTCTTTATCGCCTGTTAGCTCACACATCCCTGAGAGTTGCAGATACACAGACATGAACTAGACAGAGAAAGTAGACAACAAGGGAAAAAATGAGGTCACAGGAGAGTTGGGAACAGGTTCAAGGGGTTTAATGTTGTGCTTTTCATGTTTTTACTTTTGAAGTACCCAGCTGATTAGAGCGTTTTAAGAAAAAAACATTCCCCCATTTTTTCTCTTAGTCTTCCCTCTCATTAAAGCTAAAGAGCCACAAGGTCAAATTGTCTGAGGACATTATTAAGCTGATATTTTGTGGCATAACCTCTTAATTATCCCAGTCCATTACGAACCTTTGAACTTTACTGTTGCGTGTGTACAAGTATTGGACAAGTGACATCAGCTTCCTGACAGTCGTGCCGTCTGTTCTCCAAGATTAACCTCCTGCTAGATAAAAAGAAAACTAAATGTCAGGTGTTTTATTTGTGTATGTGGGCTCTTGCTGTTCAAGAGCGCACACTATTCTAATACCCCCCCCCACCCCCCACCTCCCATTCTAAAAATAAGTGCACAGAGTGTGCTTTCAAATTCACCCTATTAAAGTGTGCACCTACTTCTGCAGATGCTGTTACTATGAGAGATGAAAAAACCTCTCATCTATATAGTACTTGTCTTCCATCCACATCGCAGAAAGCCTCCTGAGTACAGGAGGAACATTTAATACACTGTCACTAGCCAGGCACTCATGCTTCCTGGCAGTCTTCTCCATAGAAATGCATCAGGTTAAGTTAGAGTGACATATAATTTTCAAGAACTGATAGCAAGTATGATACCACCTTGCAAAACTGCTTTTTCACCCAGACAGGTGGGTTAAAAAAAAAGAGCATCACCCTCAGGGCAAATACATAAGAAGAAACTGAAAGTCTTCATCTCTTGCTCTGTTGCAGGGAACAGATATAGTATATGGCATAATTTCCTGCATTTGCTGTCTGGCAAACTATGCAGACTGTTTGACTTTTATGCCATTTGAACACTATTCCCTGAAAGTCCAAATGAATCACACTCTTGTTGGAACATGGTGACGGGAGATACATTGGCTCAGGGTTGGAAAATGTGAGGGAAAAAATTGATCTGGACTGCAAAACAAAATAGAATTGTTTTGTTTGTAAAGGATGCATGCAATTGCAGAGGTTATATTTAAATGGAGGTCAAAATGTTATCAACTTTAGTAACAAAAGTGTTTAAATCAGGAAATGCTTTTGCTGGTTTTGCACATTAGAGTTACATTTGTTACATTGGGTAAATGTGGTACTCTGTATGTAGTTAAACTACAAAGTACTGAACAAAGGTGGGATTATGTATTATTGTAAAATAGGAGTATGTAATAATAATTTTGATTTTCTCCTCCTTGATTATCATTTTCATTATTTTTTTAACTGGGCCATATTATCGTCAGTATAGCTGCAAAAATAAAACGGGATAAAAAAACATGTTAGGAGTTTCTGATTTTCACAAGCTCCTGTTGCAGGAACAGTGTAGCTTTTCCTCAAAAATCATTAAATTGATCAAGAAAAGTATGAACTTAGTGCTGATGGTATTGCTAAGAATAAACACAATTATCTTGCTATTGGTTTTGGGTGATTTTAAGATAACATCTCAAATTATCACTTAATACACATAAAGCCCACAAAGGCCTTCCTCATCTTAACCAGTGTTTACAACCACAAACTTCTTGATTTCTTGCGTCAGAATTGTTATGTTTTATTCCTCCAATGAGTACTTTTTCTCCAATTGTTTTAACATATTGCTATTTAGCATTTCGTCCAATTGGCAAATAGCTTTTTTGTCATGTTCTGTGTCCCCTTGGTCCCCAGCCCCCTCCTGTTTGTCCTCTTTGTTCTCCTCATGTGTCTCCTGGTGTTTCCCAGCTTCTCAGGTCTCCCCTAGTCACCCCTCTGTAGTTCTATTTTCTATAGGTTCAGCTTTTCATTTTAGTTCCCTTTAGTGTTTGTGTCCTTCCCCACTTGTTAATTAGTCTCCCTTACTCCTCTTGACATTAGTTGTTTATCTTTACCCTTAGTTTCTAGGTTTAGTTATTTCGTGTTATTATAGGTTATGTTATCTTCCCCTCTGCTTGGTTTTCCCTTCCCATTTAGTTAATTGATTTCACCTGTCCTCCCTCTAGTTCTCACTCCTCACACCTGTCACCTGTTCCCCTGATTGGTTCCCTCTGTGTTAAAAGCCTGTCTTGTCCTTCAGTGTTTTTTGGGTCATTGTCGTATGTGTCTGCGTGGTCCGTGCCCCTCTTGAGATTCTCTGAGTATGTGCTCATGTGTGAGCTTTTGTTTGGTTTTGAGCATTCAGTGAGTTTTTTTGAGATTTAATCTTATTTTTTGTGCTTTGGATTTTGGCATATCCTCCTTTAATAAAGGAATTTTCTTTAAATTACTCCTGCCTTGAGTCGTTCTGGTGTTCTGCGTTTTTGGGTTCAACCTCCTACACTCAACGTGACATAATTAAAAAAATAATAGTAAATATATATAATGTATACAAAATGTGTATATATATATATATATATATATATATATATATATATATATATATATATATATATATATATATATATATATATTTGTGTGTGTGTACTTTTGTTTATATTTAGTATATTTGTCTATATTTAGTGTCCATTGTGTGGGATGTTTTTTATCAGCTTTTGAAAGCCTGGATTAGTGCAATGAAGATTAGAAGACTCTATTAATAATTGTTTCCCTCTCTTTCCAATTTCACCTCACAGGACAATGAAATGTCAAAAATTGAGAATAAAATGTGAAAACTTTAGGTTACTATCGTAACCCCGGTTCTCTGAGTAACATGAGTGAGATGTCTCACTATGGGATACACCCCTCCGCGGATTCCTCAGAAGCACTTATCTCAATACGCCAATCCTGATTGGCCAGTGACCGTGACGTACGCGTCCCCCTGCTACTATAAGTAGCAAGCGTCCCCACGCACGCACTATTCAAGATAAACACCTCTTCTCGCTTCGCCCAGCAAGAAGGGTTGTCTGGTGAGACATCTCACTCATGTTACTCAGAGAACCGGGGTTACGATAGTAACCTAAAGTTCTCTTTCTTAACATTCGTTTCGATGTCTCACTATGGGATATGGAGACTCCCGTATTGCCAGACAGCTTATCCAGCGATCACCAACCTACAGGGATACGTCTTGGCCCGCCAAAGACCCCACACTCAGAATCGTGTGAGTCATTGCAGGGACCGAAACATCAAGCCTTTAGAAGCGTGCAAATGCAAGTGGAGAAGCCCAACTTGCTGCAGCACAAATCTCCTGGATTGACAGCCCCCGAAAAAGGGCCCAAGAAGCAGACAGGCCCCTAGTAGAATGGGCCCTGAGCCCAACAGGTGCCTGAATGCCCTGACAGGAGTAAGCCATAGAAATAGCCTCCACAATCCAGTGGGAAAGCCGCTGCTTTGTGACGGGTTTCCCCTTACGAGGCCCACCCCATGACACAAAAAGCTGGTCCCCCCTGCGAAGGTTCTCCGTCCGATTCACATACTCCTTGAGCGCGCGAATCGGACACAGCTTGTGCCACCACTCCTCCTCAGGAGAGGAGAAGGGTGGCGGGTAGAAAGCTGTGAGGATAATAGGAGAAAAGGAGCCCACCACCTTAGGCACAAAGGCAGGGTTGGGCTTCAAGGACACCTTCATGTCACCTGGTGCAAACTGGGTGCAGGATGGGTGCACAGAGAGAGCCTGTAAGTCACTAACTCGCTTTGCAGATACCAAAGCCAGGAGTAGCACCACCTTAAGAGACAGGATCTTAAGGTCCAGGCCGTCCATAGGTTCAAATGGAGGCCCGGAGAGGGCCGACAGCACCAAGGACAGATCCCATGAGGGCACCAGGGGTCGGGACACAGGGAGAAGCCTGCGCGCGCCCCTCATGAAGCTACACACCAGGGGGTGTTGACCTGCCAATTTCCTCC